AGAATATAAATATTTCTAATAATTTACCTTCCCTTTCAGTTCTCGGAAATTCTTTACATGATCGCGTATTTGCTTCTGAAAAGATTCAGATAACGTTACTTTCATAAAAGATCCGTGTCATACCATAATTTTTAAAATCATTCGTTAACAACTATTTTAGAAAACATAACACTGATTCGATATGCACATTTCTTTATTGAAAATACACGAGATCTCTTATTATTCCGACTATCATAAAAATATAGATTATTAAAAAATAAAGCGTATTTAGCTGCATATACCTGTATTTCGCTTAAAATTGAATAATATATTGCATGCAACGTAATAGCGATTAAACGTTTATTATACTCCACACAACGAATCCTTTTATGCAGACTTTCAATAGCATCTCGTTGCAAGTCCAGCAGCATGTCTTGATTAGTTGCCTTTGCAGAAATAAAAAAAATATAAATTAACAATACTTAGAAAAAATATATTAATCAAGAAATAATTTCTAATTAATACAAATAATTTTGGTTTACCTCTGTGAAACATTCGTTATATTGATCTTGCGTTTCATCGATGCGCATCATTAGTTGCCGTATAGTTTCATCTTTCTTACCAAGCTATAAAGATATTTATAATATATTTCTCATACAATCCGTGTTTTTCAAGTTTAGAAATAGAGGACACTCACGAATGTAGTTCATATTATTTTGTTAACTGCAAAATGCAACAGCTACAACTTGATCATCCAACTTGTTAATCCAGGCAGCATGTTACGCTTGTACATGCCACAATCTCTTGTCACTTCGTAAACAGGATATTCAAATATGATATCACAAAAGCTTTAAATATTTTAATTAAATGAGCAAACTTCATGCATGGCACTCATATTCTTGCATTCGTAATATCATAACATAAATGTAAATTAAAGGCGAAGAGAAATATGATAATCCGTATATTCGTGAATCATATTTTTAATAAGCATTTATATATCGATAATATTTACAATTGTAATAAATACATATTAGCGCGAAAAACTATATAGCAATTTAACTATTTATAATTCATATTCAAACATCATGCACATTTCTATGACTAAAGGCTGCAGACGATATGGCTGGCCTCAGCTCACTCACATCACTCATTGTTTTATGAGCCATTTGATCTAAATTTCGTTTAGCTTCAACAACAGCATTTTGTAAATGCCCGATAGTTTGTATTTGAAGTTCATTCTGCAATACACCGCACAATGTTAAAAAATAAATCTTCATAATTAAGCACGATGACTAAGCAGAAAAAAAGAGACAAACCTGCTTCAACAATTCATTCTTCTCTCTCTCATATTGCGCGATTGTAAGGCTTTGTTTATCTATCTGTAAACAGATTTCTTTTAATATTCTAATATCATACATACCTTAAAACTTTATTCTTGATAAACGGGCAGAATTTCTGTGTTTGCATTTAATTAACATATCGTTTAATCCACAAGATACATTGAAAAAGCATAAATAATTACGAAATAACAATTAAAATTTTCAATTAAAAATGATATTATAATTTTTAAATCAAAAACTATTTTCATAATAGTATCATAACATCTCTTCTGCTTATAGCTTAAAAAAATATATATAATCAATTTACCTTTTCTTGCAACTTTTGATGCAGATCTTTTACTTCTGCTTGGCTCATTGTCAATGAATTTCGTTGAATCCGTACGACTTCCTCCATATTTTCTAACTGAAATGATTTTAATTCTTTAATTTACATTCTGATTCATATGAAATGATTTCAAGTAATTATTCAAAAGAAAATATCTAATTTTATTCAGAAATAAAATATAATATATTCATATATATTTTACTATTTATAGACTTATATAATTTGTCACATATATACATAAAAAATAATAAACATAACTTACAAGTTTTTCTTTAGAATATACAGCACTTTTAAGTTTGCTTAATTCATGAAAGCAAATATCCAGTTTTTCTCTACATTTTCCTAACAAATCGGTTAAAATCATAGCAGATTTTGCTGAAACGGAGGAGAAAGAGGATTCATCATGTATCTGTAAATAAATGTTCATAATAATCTCTATAGCCGAATATTAATATGATAATAATGAAAAAAAAAACAAACCAATTTTTTAAGTTCACTTTCAAAGTCTTGTACTGCCATTTTTGCAAATTGCACAGCATCTTGCACAGTTTTGAACAAGTGAGATATATTCTGGAATAAAAAAATATAAATATAAATAAATTATTAAATATAAATAAGAGGAGAAATGCTATTTTTAATCGAAGCGGTTTTGATGCTTAGTATTTATACGTAAATATACAAATATTATTGTTATCTTATAAAGAAGACTTCAGAAGCAAATGTATATTTCTTACTATTATCATAAAATTTCCATATAAATATATAGCAAAAAGCATTAATATTTATATACATATACAGTTTCAATATACCTCATGTTTGGACGGATAATCACAACGTAAAAGTGTTGTTTCTATGCCGCAGTCCGTATGCTTTGTAATAAAAATGGAAATTTTAATAAAGAAAAAAAAAATTTGCAAATATATATATAATTAGAAAATTACTTACAAAAGCATTTGAGATTTCTGTAGATTTCTTAATATTCGCTACATTATTCAAATTTTTTTTAAGATCATTTTCTACTTCTTTTTGCGTTTTGATCTAAAATTATAATGTCAGCATCTATCTCAATGATAATTTTAGATTTGCGAAAATAATACTTACAGTATTTTCTAGTTCTATTATCTTCTTTTTCAATTCCATATTATCTTTGCTATGACATTGTCTATAATTTTCTGCTTTTGTTCGTGCAGTTATCAGTTCCTTCTCTATAGATTGAATATTATTTTTTAAAAAATTAATTGCTTCTTGTTTGCATTTTGCCTGTTACAAAGAAATTATATAACTCATAATTGAAAATAAGATTTTAATAATAAGTGTTTAATAATGTGAATGATGTTTACCTCATGTTGCAACATTCGAATTTGATCTTCTAAATCAGTCATACGATTTTTCCATTTATTTAATCTTTCATCATATTTCATTTGACATGTTTGCTACAAACATATACATATAATATTGCATTAATTTAAGTTGATTAATAAATAATTTGCATGAGTTGTTACACATAACGAATAGAAAAGTTTATTTATTAAATATAGTCTATTTCAAAATATAAATTTAATTACCTGGATCATGTTAAGTTTTAAATCGTCGTATTCCTTTCTTAATTTATGTAAATCTTCTTTCGTTTTTATTATGTCATTTACTTCCTATAAAGCATAGTATATAGATACATTATGAATTAAAAAATAAAAAAGCATTTATGTAATAATTATACTTGCTTTAATACCTGATTATCATAAGTATAATGAGAAAATTGTTCCTGTGCAATAATATTTATATTAAATTAATTATTTAATTATTTTAATAGTTTGTATATTATCTACACTTATACTTGATTGAGTAAAAAACTTGTTCATTTTTTTATTACATATAAAAATATTTCTACATAAAAATAATTATTTTAAAGTTTGAGAGTCCAATTTAAATTATTTTTTGTTATTTCTACATCAATAATTTAATTTTAAATATAAACAAAATTTAAAGCATTTTGACAAACTATTTAAAACATAAAAAAATTAATTTAAATTAATAGTTGACAATTAAAAATTTGGATTTATATGTAAGAAAATTTTTTCTTCCAAAAATACTAATAAAATTAAGAAAATCTTTTTAATCAATATATATAAAAATTACAAATAGCAACCTTTTCTTCCTGTTTTGTGGAAAGAAATATTTCCAATACATCTTGCATTTTTGTATGTGCACAATCGACTTCTTCTTCGAATTTAGCCAACCTGCATTCCCTTTCACAGAATGTCGTTTTTGCAATTTCATTGTTCAATAGCTGCATAGATAATTGAAAATATATGAGATATTATTTATTATTTACACATATATATTTTCCTAAGATACTTACCACTTCACCGGTTTTTTTCTGTAAATCCTTTAAAGAGCTATCTATAGTACACAGCTGACTTCTTAATCCTTTTAATATTGATGTCACACAACCTCCCTAAAAGACAATATCTGTATAATATTTTTAGGTTGATATATCGTTAAATTCGAACAGAAGCTACTTTTATTCTGATTTCTGAACAAACCTGAGTTTGGAATAATTGCAAATTTGTCAATATTTGTTCAACTTCTTCCATTACCATAGTTAGTAAATCATTGTTTATGTATGCTTCTGTATATTCGGATTCATTATATCCCTAAAATTGATTTTATACTTCACGATAAAATAATCAATAAAGTATTTAAAATAGTTATTTAATAAATACTTCGAACCTGTATATTCTCCTGCATACCATTAATGCAACGAGACAATTCTGATTGAACATGATTAATTTCATTTTTTATATCCTTCAGTTTAAGATTGCCACTTACAATTCTTTCGCTGTGTCTTAGTCTTTCTTCCTCCTGATAAAAAAGAAAGATATTTTTCAATAGTAGATTGCAATAATAAAATTGTAATTAATTTATACTGAAACTTAAAATAGAATTGTATATTTCAATAATATTCATCATAAGAGAAGCAATATATTTTGATATACTATTATAAATATTACTTGTAATTCTAGTCTACTGATTGCTTCTATTAATCCTTCTCGTGTTCTTATCAAGTAACTTTGCACATTAGTAACCATCTTACTCAATTCTTCATACTGAAAAATTTAGTAATTTAGCATTAATCGCTCATTTTATCACAAACTTATCACGGTCTATTTATTGATTTACACATACATTTTGGTGTCGTGAATTAAATGTTGAGACAACGGTGCTTATCTCGTCGCGAATGTCTTCTGTTGCTGCTTGAGCTTCCACAGTACAGACTCTAAATTCTTCCATTAATTTAAATTGCCGTGCATTATTCACATTTGACTGGAAAAAGAAAGACGTATTGTGTTCAATAGTATGACACAAAAAATATTAAAATATGAATATCTTACTTTAATATTCTTAGAATCACCACAGGCACAACGATTTTCTTCTTTCTTTATCTAAGAAAAGAAAGTATGTGTATGATTAAAATATATCTAATAATGTGATTATCTTCACAAAATAGTTAATAAATAAAACTGATATTTGTTATACTATATTTGTTACACATACCATACAATCAAAAGCAGTAACTTCCTTTTGTCTTTCTAAGTATATTTTATTAATAATTTCAATGCAATTGATCAGTTTGTCTGACATGTCACTTGCACAAAGTTTATTTTTATTTGTGTAATTGTTAGCTATAGTACAATCATCCACCTAGAAAATATATATTTTTGGAAAAACTTCAATTATTTGCTAAAATAAATTCAAAACAATAATGAATGATATTCTATAACAAAGTTCACTTTTACTCTGTTATAAAGAAATAATGTTTTTACCTCATCTTTGGTGGTCAATTTATTTATAAATTTCCCAAGTTCGAGCTTTAAATTCGATAAAATTTCACATTCTTTCTGCACATGTGTTTTTGTATTATTTAGGAATAATATAAATTCATCCTAAAAATAAATTAGATAACATAATATTATATATAAATAATATTATATATAAATTT